CTCACCACTGATCTTATAAAGATAAACTTAAATTACAGCAGATATGAATCATATCATAAATAAAATATAATCCACATTGTAAATTTACCTCTCAAAATTCAATTTCAAAATTAAACCCATCATTCATCTCATAAAATTTGAGTGAGAGAGTATGAGAAATACAAGAAAATAACCAGCAATATATTTCATATATACATGGCTAAACAAGCTAACAAGTTGGTTGCATTAGTCCTCATCTATTTATTAACTTCAACATTAGCAACATCTCGGGATGCCTTCAAATATGTGCGCACATATCATGTTCATATCATTAATGATCTGCCTACTGATAATCCGCCATTGATACTTCATTGCAAATCTAAAGACGACGATCTTGGTTACCATACTATAGTACCGCATCAGCAATTTTCGTGGAAGTTCAAAATTAATTTTTGGACAACTACTCTGTATTTCTGCTATGCGGATTGGAAACCTAAGAGTAAATATTTTGACGCATTTACTGTCAATAGAGATCAACATCGATGTGCCAATCATATGTATTGTTTGTGGTCAGTTAGAGACGATGGATTTTATTTTAGTAAGGATAATTCGACATGGTCTCGAGAATATATTTGGTAATATGATATTATGAAATCAAAAATAAAATTTTAATTATTCTCTTAAATAAATTTGAATAAATAAGCGTAATTTCCTGCACTAGTGTTCTGTCAATTGTCATCAATGTTATCTATTTATTAACTTCAGCATTAGCAACATCTCGGGATGCCTTCAAATATCTGGGCACATATCATGTTCATATCATTAACGATCTGCCTACTGACAATCCGCCATTGATACTTCATTGCAAATCTAAAGACGACGATCTTGGTTACCATACTATAGTACCGCATCAGCAATTTTCATGGAAGTTCAAAATTAATTTTTGGACAACCACTCTGTATTTCTGCTATGCAGATTGGAAACTTAAGAGTAAATATTTTGACGCATTTACTGTCAATAGAGATCAATATCGATGTGTCAATCATATGTATTGTTTATGGTCAGTTAGAGACGATGGATTTTATTTTAGCAATGATAATTCGACATGGTCTCGAGAATATATTTGGTAATATGATATTATGAAATCAAAAATAAAATTTTAATTATTCTCTTAAATAAATTTGAATAAATAAGCGTAGTCTCCTGCACCAATGCTCTGTCAATTGGCATCAATATTATCTATTTATTAACTTCAGCATTAGCAGTATCTCGATATGCTTTCAAATATTTATGCACATACTATGTTCATATCATTAACGATCTGTCTACCAACAATCCGACATTAACACTTCATTGCAAATCTAAAGACGACGATCTTGGTTACCATACTATAGTGCTGCATCAGCAATTTTCGTAGAAGTTCAAAATTAATTTTTGGACAACCACTCTATATTTTTGATATGCAGATTGGAAACCTAAGAGTAAATATTTTAGTGCATTTACCGTCAACAGAGATCAACATCGACATGTTAATCATATATTCATTTTGTGGTCAGTTATATACGATAAATTTTATTTTAACGATGATAATTCGACATGTTATCGAAAATATATTTAGTAATATGATATTATGAAATCCAAAATAAAATTTTAATTATTTTTTTAAATAAATTAGCGGAGTCTCTTGTACTAACGTTCTGTCAATCGCCATCAATATCGTCTAGATATGCTTATTGGTACGAAAATCAAACCTTTCTCGGTCCAAAGGCAGAATAATTATGAAGAAGTCCCCATAAAAATAAAGATGCTCTCACAGTCAAAAGGCTAATTATTGTAGTAATAATGTACTTAAAAGTTAATTAACTCAAATTAATCTTAAATAATTAGGCTGATAACAGAACTGTCAGATTACGGTGACGGCGTTTGTTTTGTTCCGTTTCAATTAAAAGCATGTTAAGATCCCAGCCTGGGAGAATCTAATTCCAGTAAAACCCTTCCACGTATCCCCCTCCCGTGATATCAACAAACGCCAACCCGTGAATTCTCGTCTGCCACGTGCCGCATCTCCGTTTTCCCACCCATTGTTTAATTATTTTTGGAAATATTAATATTAATTTTAACTTTTTTTTAATTGGATGTAATTTTATTAATAATAACTAAAATTAAAATAATTACTTTCAAAATAACAGAAATAAAAACGATCAAAATAGTTAACATGAATATATAAATTATATTATATTATTCAATAATAAGTATTTACTTATTTAGTTGTCACGGTTAATTATTTTCGATATCAAATTTTTTAAGAGTGTGTTCGATTGATTCAACATCTTTAAACTTACAAAGCATTATTTTTGCTTGGAAATAACCCTTAGACTTCCAAGCTAACGATTGATTTTCGTTACGTCTTCTAAATTTTCCGTTCTACGTATCCATTCGATAAACTATTTTAGTTTTATTTTAACTTAAACCCATGTCTTTAAATGAACATAAATTCTCTCTTACGCTAACCAAAGACAATAAAATAGGGGGAAAATAATTCATCCGAGAGCCCGCATGTGAAATCTTTATATTGGAAACATGGAACTGTGTCAATCGGCGTCACGGTTGGGACGTGCCCCGCCAGCAACCGCCCACCCACTGTGGACTTTGTGGCCCAGCAGGTCTGGCCCAGACGGCCTGAAATATTAGCCAGTAACCGAGCGCGTAATCCTCCCGGACCTTACGTGTCATATCTCATAACCACAGGCTAATATGCTCGCCCCAAAAAATACAATAAAAAAGTGCACGTAACTTCTAAAGGCCCAAAGCTTTTTCTATGAAGTCCCACCCGTGAGAGCGCACACGTGACGGGTTAAGACAAAAACAAATCCACGCATGTGCTGTCGATGCCGGCGTTTATAAATGCCTTAAACCCACCAAGTTGCATAAAACCATTCCGCACTGCACTTGGATCCTCGTATCAGCTTTTGCATGGTCTCCTGCTGAAGCTTGTTGGCCTAAAGCTTCCAACTCGTAAGGTAAATTTGTGGGGGGTTAATTAATTTTAACACACCTATTTGTTAATTCTCATTCTGAAAAAAATACCCATTTGTTAATTTTCATTTTTAAAAAATACCCAGTTCTTCATTTTATGTTATATGTGACCTGAGTTTGGGAGAGATCATGTGTTATGTGTTGGATCATGTGAGATAATAAAGCTTTTTTTGAAAAAGAAAATTGGTAGGAGATCATGGTAATGTTCTTTTTTTTTTTTTTTGAAGTCATTCTGTGATGGACCATATATATATAAATTGGATTTGGAATCACCCGTGAATAGTTTAAATTCTGAGTGTTGTCGGGCAACTACTACATACTTCCTACTTCCATGGCCACAAGGAGCTAAACAACAACCAAGAGTCACGAGACTCGGCATATGTATTGGCACTATGTTGGCTACTAATTTTGTTCTCTAATGTTGAGAAACAATTATTCAAAAAAAAAAAAAAAACAATTTGGTTCAAGTACAGAATCACATGGTATATGTAGATACATATAGTGATTTGTTGATTCCCCTTTTCCATATGTACTCATTAGCATGCATATCATACTTAATAATCAGGATTTACAGTAGATGATTATTACATATATACGTGTGTATGTACTGTTGAAACACATAAAATAAGAATCGAGTCGAATCATATTTCTATATGTGTTATTATTTTATAATTGTTTACGACGTGCTATAATTTATTGATTGATTTATAGTAACTGTGTGAGAACTCGAAAACAACTAAGAGATACCGAAATTTAAAAAAAGAAAAAAGAGAAAAATGAGAAGGGAAAACAAAGAACATGAGATTGAGATCCATGGACCACGTGAAAATGGAACCAACTCAGAGGAAATTCAACTTCAGGACAACAGAAACTGAGAAATCAAAAGCTGAGAGATCAACAATAAAGAAATCTACTGAAGAGCCAAGAACATTCGGCCAACTTTTGCCAAGCTCATTGTACTTGGATTCACCAAGACCTGACACGCGTCCACCATAGATATCAGACTTGCTCAACTATTTTCTCACTATAAATTACCAGCCTCTACTTTAAAGCATGGTATTCAAAACACTGGTCCCTTTTTTAACCTTGTTGGTTGTAGCAGTTTAACTCGTTCTTTCGTCTCCACTTATTTTGTTCTCATTGCTCCGTTATATTATACTCTATAGCTTCATTGGCAGAACAATCCTTTTCGCGTGCATTCTCTGAGATTTCAAACTGTTTTCACAGTGATTGACTACAAAGCTTCAGCTTCAGTTCATCTTCTCTCATGGAGATTGGTCGTGGGGGGTTAGCCATTTTGGTTTTTACAGCTCTGTTGATTCACTATTCGAGCAATGTGGAAGGAAGGTACCATTTTCACAAGAAGCAGAAAACGAAAGAACCCAGTAAAGGCTCTCATCCTGTTGACTCCCCTGACTCTCAAGACCCACCCTCTGTTCCTTCGGACCCTTACCCCATGCCTGCGCCACCTGAAGAACTACCTTCCCCTTCTGCTCCTTCTCCCTCTATTCCCTCGGACCCCTATCCTAATGACCCATCTGCGAACTCCACTTCAAACTGCATTTTCGACGTCACAACTTTCGGAGCAGTCGGCGACGGCTCCGCGGACGACACCGCCGCCTTCACGGCTGCATGGAAAGCCGCCTGCGCCTCTGATTCCGGCGTTTTGCTCGCCCCCGCCGATCATGTTTTCATGGTCACTTCAACTATATTCTCCGGACCCTGCAAACCCGGACTTGTATTTCAAGTAAGAATTTTGATTTTCTTCCTGCATTTCTGTTTTTCTTTTCCTTTTTCGGTTTTGATTTGGCAAATTCATGAAAGGTTTTTCCAATGTGAATAAAAGGTGGAGGGAGTTTTGATGCCTCCAGATGGGCCGGAGTGTTGGCCGGAAGCCGATAGCCACAAGCAATGGCTTGTGTTTTACCGGTTGGATCAGATGACTCTCACCGGGAAAGGAACCATTGAAGGGAACGGACAGAAGTGGTGGGATCTCCCTTGTAAACCTCACAGGGTAATTTTATTTTATTTTTTAAATATTCTCAGAGTTTTATTAGATTTTGATCCAATTATTTGTCACTAAATTTTAGTAACGTGTTTTTTTAGGGTCCTGATGGCTCAACATCCTCCGGACCGTGCGACAGCCCTGCCGTGAGTATATATACAACTTACCATACTAATCTAAAGCTGAATCAGTAATTACAGTGACTTCTTCTTTGTCTTAATCTAAGACCGTGTTTGTTTCCTCGTTTTGTTGACAGTTAATTAGGTTCTTCATGAGCAATAATTTAGTACTTAGCGGACTAAGGATCCAAAACAGTCCTCAATTCCACGTCAAATTTGATGGGTGCGAAGGAGTTTTGATAGAGAATTTACAAATTTCATCGCCTAAACTCAGTCCAAACACAGACGGCATTCACGTTGAGAACACAAAGAGTGTTGGAATATACAACTCCATGATATCCAACGGTGAGCGCCCCATTCATTCTTCTTCATCACTTGGTTTAATAAAAACAACTCTCAAACAAGTAACCATATGGGGAATATACTCAAAAATCTATAACCTTTTAAAGAGAAAGAAGCATACCCAGTTTTCAGTTTACCAGTATAATCCATTCTGTCGTTTCCCATCATACCATTTGAGCCCAGATGGGGGCTATTCCCTTCACCCATGGTAGAGACTTTCCTTTCTTCTGTTCCATTATTGAAGTAGATTGGGCCATATCTTTGCCTGCAATCGAGTTGTTTCCTATTATACTACTTGGAAGTAATAAATGATTCGATTTGTATTTTGGGTCACATTTATTTCCATTTACTGGCTTGTGCTGACCCCATATGATAATACATTATGAATGATGTGAAATAGGTGATGACTGCATTTCAATTGGGCCAGGATGCTCAAATGTCGATATTGATGGTGTCACATGTGGGCCTAGTCATGGGATCAGGTACTTCCCATTTCTTTTGCCATAAATTAACTCATCTTCGGCTTGTAATGTGTATCTATTATTAACTCGGTGTTATTTCGAAAAACATGATTGTGCTACGAATTCTCTCGTGTCTTTTGGTTACTAATGTATGAATTTTCGCTAAGGTTAAACTTGATCTCGCTCTAAGAAAACATACTGCTTAATTTCTCTCTTTCGATGACAGCATTGGGAGTCTAGGAGTACACAACTCACAAGCCTGTGTGTCCAACATCACAGTGAGAAATGCCATCATAAAAGAATCAGACACCGGCCTCCGACTGAAAACTTGGCAGGGTGGCAGCGGCTGTGTCTCCGGTTTGCTCTTCGAGAACATTCAAATGGAAAACGTTAGAAACTGTATAATCATAGATCAGTATTATTGTCTTTCAAAGGGCTGTCGCAATCAAACCTCTGCCGTATATGTTACCGACGTCCAGTACAGAAACATCAAAGGCACATACGATGTACGCAGCCCTCCCATCCACTTCGCATGCAGTGACACTGTTGCTTGTACAAATATAACAATGGCAGAAGTCGAGCTTCTTCCGGAGGAAGGTCAGCTTGTCGATGACCCATTTTGCTGGAATGCGTATGGAACTCAAGAGACCTTCACTATTCCTCCAATAAATTGTTTGCAAGAAGGTATGCCGCAGAAAGTGTCTGAGGTTGCTGCTTATACCTGCTAGTAATACAGCAATAAACTTTCAGACTCGAAATTTACCAGTAATAACATATAGGAAGATTAATACTGTATAGGACCTATTTATATATGTTTCTATCAATCTCCTTACAGAGGCTTTTGTTATAAGTTGCCATTGTTACTTAGGTTTCATCCCTTCCAAGGTACTTTTTTGCCTTACTGTGTGATGAGATGATATTTAATAGATATATCAATATATATATATATATATATTAATTTTGGCCTTTCATGTTTGTAATAATTATACTAGTACATATAGTACTAGTACTCAATCTACAATACAAAATTTTGGTATAAGCTTTTATATATTCTCTCATGTTATAGAATTACAGTGATATAAATACAAAAAATATTTAGTAGTGGGTATATTATATACTTTTGAAAATTTTGCAACAATATTAATATTATCAATAGTCTTTTAACTATTTATTTATTGTATCTTCGAGTGTTATACAAAATATTTTAGTGGTTACACATTCGTCGTAACTTATTATTGTTTCTTTATTATTATGTATGTATCCAACTTTTATCACAAGTATTCAAACTCTATTATTATAATTAATTTTTTTTTTATATTTTCTTCAATTATACCATAAAATCAAATAAAAACTATTTTCAAATTCGTATAACGTAATTATAAGATATAAAGCAATTACAAAAACACATCGAGTTAATGGATTTATAACGTAATCAAAAGTTTCGTAATCATGACCCACCAAAACGAAAAAAAAAACAAATGCTTGAAATAAAAAAAAAAAAAATCATCTAAAAGTAACCCAAATCATGAAAAAGAAATTTCACGAGTGGAAAGTGTGTTAATGAGGATTCACGAATCCCCTCCAACAATAATGTTTTGGAAATTTACGACAATTGCTATCTTTAAACCATATAGTAACATAAGAATTTTTGTTGGCTCCATTTTCGTGTGGTTTGGCCATTGCGACGTTCTTGTAAAAAAGCACTCTCTCAACCCATTTTCTCCAAATTACACTCAAAATCCTCTGTTAACGATCACAATTGCATCGAAACTGAATTTGCATATACTCGAACTTGGCAAGTACCGAAATTTGAAAACTTTATTTTCATTCAGTACGAGATTATCAAATTTCTCAAAGTAAAAAAGTTAACTCAAAAAAAAAAATATATATATATGATTAATATATATATATCTATATGATTAATATGTAAATTTTATAAATAAAATTTATTTATCATATTCTAAGAAAAACCTTATATTCTGAAAAGAAAAAAAGCTTAAGTAACGCCTTGAAGCTTAAGACATTTTACTTGGGCCCAAAACGACACGACTTGCGAAAACAATTCAAAATTTCAAAATTTCAAAATTCGCAGCGTTAATGTTCGTTGCTCTCATGGGGTCAGCAGTTCTCAGCAATTTTCACCTGAACAGAAGGCCTATAGCGTCATTTTACCCGCTTGTGTCATTGCAAAGGACCGACCGGCACATATATATCTCGCATTCACACACGGAAATCTTCTCTCAAATTTCTTCATTTTATTTCATTTCTCTCTTCGAACAGTCCGCTTCTCTTGGAATCTTTCACCCATTTTTCTCCCTCTGCAGATCACAGATACAAAGGGTTTCGACTCTCAAAGTCTAGCAACAAACCCTAAGTAGATACCAACGATTCAAATTCACGATTGTTTTTGCCAACTCTCCTGCTATTTTATGGCGATTCTTCCACCGCGATCGTTGGCGAATTGCACAACCAAGATGAATTGTATTGTTTGCTGTTTGAACTGATGCAAGAATCGATTTGATCATCACCATGTTCGAAGCTCACGTAAGCATTTTCATCGGATTTTTAATTGCTTTTTTCTTATCTTTATTGCGTGTCTTAATTGCTGAATGGTACTTTGGAATTTTCATATTTGATTGATTAGCTTACGAGATGTGACAAGAATCGTAAATTACTAGTTACTTCATTATTGGTGGTGTAATTATGGTATGTTGGAGGAGTTGGGAGTTATTTGTGACAAGCACGTATGTGGAACTGTCTGTCTTGGTTGATGCATTTTATTTAGTTGGTCGATGTACCCAGAGAACTGACTCTCTTTTTCTGTTTTTTGATAAACGAGGAAAAAGGACAACTCTAGACCAAGAATTATTATAAAGATCACTATAAATTAAATTCTGCAGTCTTATGATGAGGTGTGAAACATCATATGGCCCTGGGTGGACCTATTAACGAATTTCGAAGGCCAGTCCAGGGCATGTTTTTTTTCCTTTAATTGAGAGAGACCGTTTTACCACTCCCGCTGTCCCTATCATCTTCACCGATGATGCAGTGGTTTCTCTGGGCACTCTCGACCAACCACAAGTTATATGCCAAAGTTCAATCCATCTCCGCCACCACCTTTCCATATCCCAAATCCCACTAAGGCCTAATAGCCTCTCATACAGCTGCGGAAATCTTCAGCCTCAATTGACACAGAACCGTCTGCGTTGGTTTTGACCCATCCATAACTTGTCTGTCTTCTTTAACTCCTACGCTGCTACCCAAATTATGAGTAATATCATGCATGCGATTAAACTCGTGAGCCTTCTTAACAACCCAAAGCCCATAATGCTTGTTACGTTTAGCCAAATTACCAAAAAGAACTAATTGCACTATTCCCAGACGAACCAAGCAACTTTATAATATGCCATTCGAGTTTGTCACTTCCTATGTCTATTTTACGATAGCAGAAACCCAATCTGCACCTAATAATGCAGTCTAGCTGTGAAAAAACCATGCATGTCAAGTTGGTTGATATGATCCATAGGTTCTTGTTGGCACCACAAGCCTCAATAATAACATGTAAAACATCTTACTTGGGGGATGGCATGATGGAAGTTTCTCACCTCATGCTTCCGGATTAAATGTTTATATCAACATCAGATGTCTTCTAACGTGCTTTGAAGTTGTCTATGGCCATGAGCTGAATTGTGATAACTCGGCAGGTGGTGCTGTGGGGGATGGTTTTTTTGTTTAATGTATCGTCAAGTTTTAATGCATGGTTGTTAAATTGCCATTAAAATACATTTGTTTCCAGCCAAAATCAAGAAAAAGAAGCTTGGGACTCCGTTGTTGTCAAGTTGGAAAATAAATGTCTAGTTGGAAGAGAAGCTCTCTTTTGAAAAGGATAAGTTGACTCAAAAAGGATGCTCTTTAAATCGTGTTTATTCAGAATCATGCCCGGGATGGGCAGATGTCTCATATGCTGAATTGATTTCTTTTTCTACTTTTGTTACTTTATTTTTGTCAATACCGCCTATAATAATTAATTATTGATTAGTGACAAATTTTCAATTGAAAATATGTATTCTTTCAAGTGGTATTTTTGCTTATACTCTTTCTTTCAAAGATTGAAACTTAAAAAAATGCTTTAGAAACATATGGATTAAAAAAAAACATATTTCATTTAGCCCCTTCATGCCTACTATAACTAGTTATTTTGATTTTCTACTAGTAGCTTTAACTATAACCTCAACTCTATTTATTGGTCTGAGCAAGATACAGCTTATTTGAAATTAAGTGAATGAATAGTTTATTTTTAAAAAATAAATCTTTCTATGGTATTCCATATAATTGAATAGTTCCTTACTTTAACGTGTTAATTACCTTAACTAATAATTATTGGTCTTTGAAATTCATGAGCAATACAGATTTTTATTTAGGGATAGATATTACCTCTCTCTTTTCCCTTTAAATATATATATATATATATATATATATATAAATGATAGAAGTTTTTCTATTTGGCATCATCTTAGGTCTAATTCCTATTACTTTGGCTGGATTATTTGTAACTATGATATTTATTTATCGTTTTCGTTTCCCCTTCCAGTTAGTATATAATGATAATAGTCGCTATGTAGTGCACATTTCTTGCAAGGAGATTGGGAAGACTAAAGAAAATTTCACTTGATGCCCTTGTATATGGTTGATGAATCTCTATGCAGGGTCAGTTAGCCTTGGGATAAGACATCTTGCTATCCTCAATAACCCTCTATTGATTAATTGGTGGTATGTTTATGCAAGATAAGGTGTGAAGGAAATCATTGCCACCAAGTACAAGTTGAAAGCTAATGGATGGTGTTCCAAGAGGGGGAGAGGTGTATATGATGCTAACGCTTTAAGGTTGATGTCCAGAGATAGTAGAAGTTCAAGGAGTCTCTCTAAGTTCATTATAAGTGGTATTATTGTGGTTAGATTTTTGTGTGATGGCTGTTGCAGAGATGGGCCGGTTGAGGAATATTTTTCTTGCATTTTTCAATTGTTAGATTCAAGGAGGCGAAGGTTAGGAACTAGTTTGTGGTGTATGGTGGCATAGTCCAAAGGAACATCCTTTTCTTCAAGAATAGTAATGATTAGGAAGTTAGTGAAGGGATCTCTCGCATCCATAAATTGGAAAATTCCTATATCTCGCATCTCTAAATTAGAAAATTCCTATATCCATCCTTTCAGTGACAATGGTATAACAGGGAAGCTACTAAGGGCAGTAAATTCTTTTTATCATTTATCACCATTTTTAAGCTGGTAATATTCAAGATTGTAAGGGAAACAAGTTCTGTAAGTGAAGATGGCCTTTCATGTTGTCCTTGTTGCCTGGGAGGCAACTTGTGAGAATGTTTTGACTTGTGGAAAACTTGACGAGAACAGACAAAATTTGGTGTGAAGATAGCCTTTTGAACACTTGGTTTCTTGGAATTTTTGGTTAAATAGAGATATTTATGGGGGATTGCTTTAGTGTTGATGACAACTCACCAAGGACGAGGAAAGTTTTGTTGAAATGGTATCATCAAGCACTTGAAGTACTCCAACAGTAAAAACTTTGGATTATATCATGCATGCTCAGTATAATGTGGCTTTGAAATTGTGGATGAGGTCATTTGATACGTTCTGATTGACTTCGGTTGTTCCTCCTTCTTTGAAGTGTTTTATGAACTAGAATATTTTGCGGGTTGATATTATGGTTAAATGAAATGAAATTATTTTTGAATATTGTACATTTCCGATTCAAGTTATGTAGGAGAAGACAACATTTCTAGGCTCCTTATGGTTGAAGACCCACTGGAAGTTTTCGATATTTCTATATTCATCTTAAGAAGGAATTGAGGGGGATAATAAAAGGGTTGTAAGTTGGTCCAAATTGTATTGGGCCAATGACCGAAAATGGGGGAGCATTCGGACCGAAAGATCAGACCATTTAATTTTTTATCTAATCTAAATTGAAAATGACCGGACGCCTTCTTTTTTTTTTTTTTGAAAATCCATTTGGATTAAAAAATCAATAAAAACAAAGATGATATATATATATATATCTATATATTCACATTGCCATTATACATATATTTAGTGAACCTCTGTTTTCTAACATCTCTATACATAAAAAAAAATTCGGCATCAACCATGGCTGCTACCTGGATATAAGTATCTCAGAACTCTGTTGTAATGGGGGAGACCATCATACATAGTGTGCGTGTGTTGGTGGGGGGGAGTTGTAGACATTCTTTTCATTATTTTTTATCCTCTTGATGTCTTTAGGATGTCTTATTCTTCATCTTTGTAACTTATTATTTTCTTCTCATCTTTAGTAAAACATCTTCTTTCGTCAATTTTTTTTAAACTATGCAATTCTTCTTTCTATACTTATCTGAATCAAATTGGAAATTGGATAAGTAATTTTCAATTTGATAAACCTGGCAAGTTATTAACTACATTAAGATCATTGTATAAAAATTATTAACATTATTATTGGTGATAAGTAAAATCTATGCCCTTAAAAAGAAAAAGGAAGAGATTTTGTTCTATGATAAAAAATTCATTCATCTCATTTCAAGAAAAAAAAAAAGAATAAAGCGGGTCTATAGAATTTCAAGTAGAAAACAAAATAGCAAAGCATTTGGAAAAGTTAGAAGGGTCTATTCACATTAGCAGGAGAGTCATATTGATTTAGGCATGTCTTTCTAGCATCCAAATTGTACTACTAATGTCTGCGTAGGATGCCTTGTAAGTAGTAGATGGGATCGAGCGTCAGATGAGAAGATTCATTTGTTTGGGTATAGGGGAAGAAAATAAGGATCAACTATTAAATTGACAGGTGTGTTGTAAATCTAATCGTGTAG